CAAGATCTACTTTTTGTTTTACCTGGGAGAGATTTCAGTTAGAACCAACAGTCCAAGAGGCATGGGGCTGTCTCAGCAAGGGGTTGAAGATGGTTTGTTACAGACACACACCTTGGAAAACAAAGTCAAAAGTAGTTCAGGTGGGGAGCCGCGTCAGCATGCGTAGGCTGCAAAGGAACAAGTAATAGTTTTATTCCCTGCTGAAAAAAGAAGAAAGAGAACACAACGTTTTGGCCGTGGAGCCTTGACATACCTGAAGAAGGCTCCACGGCCAAAACGTTGTGTTTTCTTTCTTCTTTTTTCAGCAGGGAATAAAACTATTACTAGTTCCTTTAAAGTCAAAAGTAGACATTTACCGTGGAGAAGCTCAGATTTAATGTTCTTCTTTAGTCAATGGGACGAAGCCTGGGCTACGTTTCACCAAACTAAGGTTTTAGTTTAAGACAGGGAGATTTATAGGCAACTGAGAATTTTTTGTTAAACACACACAAGGAATGCCAAAGCTTTTTATTTTAAAGATGGCACAAGAATTTTTTAAAATCAGAATGTTTCTGGAAATATGTAAAGAATCTCATTAATTAATCTGGCAATAAGCCTGTTCATCAGATAAAGGTTAATGATAGTGATATTACTGAGCTGTGGCATATAGCTGATGTATTTAATCACCTTAGTCAATGGTTTATCTCTACAAGCACAGTTCTTCTTTCTAATTGTAAGTACACATGCACTGAATATAATTATTACCAGAAAACCTCTACTGTAAGACAGATACTGTATTTCCACTTAAAAAAATAAACCAGTACAGGTTAACTGAAGGACTTCAAAAATAACAAAGGACTAGGTTTAGATGCATTTGAGTCAAAAGTTTAATGAACTGGCTGCTAATATATGGACATATCCTTTAACAGATTTGTTTAATTTATCATTAGTGTAGAAACCAAGAGATTCCAGCCTGAAGTGTCCGTTTGTCAAGCCAAATTTTATTGTATACTTACAAGCAACCACAATAAGGACCGTAATAGTTATAGTATCTATCGTAGTTCGAAGGGGATATGGCTTATATATACTTTTCTGTCCACCCTCCCCCTCCTGTCTTTGGGGTAGCTTTCTCAAGAAACTCCAGGACTCAGAAAGCACTTCAAACATTCCTTTCTTATCAGGAGTTTAGTATAAACATTCCCCATCAGGAGTTTAGTACTGGGAGGGGGAGGCATCTGTGCTAAAGCAAGCCTGAAGGTTAGAGTGTGGATTCCGCAGGAGTTCACAGCTCCTACCACTATATGGGTACAGAGTAACATAGAGATCCTGCTAGCAGGCTCCATCATTAGCAACCGGTGAGATTCCATCTCATTGGAAATGTGCTGGAGAGACCCCACTTTATAAGGGTGGTAACTCTTCTGAAATAAATAATTCTGTATTTAAATCAGTAATATGTATAATTATTCATTTTTCAAACATTTTCATATCTTCAGAAATATCTTAATGAGTTTAATTTATTGTCACCATCTCAGTCAGGTTTTTGACCAAACTATTCTACCACTATGGCACAAATGAAACTAACCAATGACATGTACTTCTCTCCTGATGAAGATAAATGAATAGGAGCTATTTTTATTGACTTTTAAAAAGCTTTTGTTTTAGCTGATCATATTTTTTTTTTCCCCAGAGAGGTCTGGCTTGATTTAATGCACGTCTCTGTAATAGATGACAGTATGTAATTATCAATGGGTATGAATCTCAATTTCTTGAATTACAAAAATGGTCCTTTACCTTTTCTTTATTTATAAATGATTTACCTTTATTATGTAAAAGTCTGTGTGTTCATTTATACACAGCTGATACTGTGCTTCACACCTCTAGCTCAAATTGGTCACATCTTCAAGCTTCATTACAAACTCATGTTGATTTAGTGCAAAAGCAGTTGTCTACAAAGCATTTGATCTTAAACCAGGAAACGTCTTCTATCGCGGTGTTGCACCCAAGACAAAGGTTGAGAACTGTACAGGAAGCTTTTTATTACTTACACAACGGATAAAGGTTGTATCAACTTGCAGAGTTGATTGTATAAAATATTTGGGTTTAAGATAAATAAACACATTGTCCTAACACATAAGCCTGGGATACTCTATAAGTCTAAAGAGTGTTTTACAATGAACATTAGAAAGACACTTGAATACCAGTTATTGTTGCTTCTCTTGGACTGTGGTGATATCTTAGCATATTGTGCACACACCTACTGTACCTCTATTTTATTTTGTATTGCTGTCCTTATTTTAATTTTTAGTCTATTCTGATGTGTGTTTTTACTTGTCTTGGGGTGTTGTTACACCTGAATTTCCCTTCGGGATAAATAAAGTCTTATCTAGCTCTATAATTTATGGGAATAATGTTTGGGAGTGTATCCAAGGCTCGGTTTTCCACCTGGATGTGACTTAAACCACCTGTGTTGATGGGCTCCTGGATGTCTTTATAGAACCCACCAGCGCCTATGAAAAGCAGCACTGGTTACCGCTTTTCAACAGGCAACTGCACTGATATCAGTTTCTTTTTAAATGTATTCTGCAAGCAGCTCCATGTGTTTTAAAAGATCTTCTGTGTGTAAGTCATACAGAGTGCTCTTTCAGACAGCCTGAGCAAAGATAGTTTAAGGTTCCACAAGTGTATTATGAGGCTGGAAGGAAAGGTTTTTGCTACAAAGCACCAAAGGATTGGAATAACTTAACCCCTGAACTAAGACCAGAGTTTGATTAGCATATTAAAATGAATGTTCTTGTAATCGAAATAATTATACTTATTAATTTTCAGATTACTTTTCATGGCAGTTATATAGTTTGTGTTTTATTTACTTTTCTCTTCTTTTGTTCTTTGTGTTGTGATAGCTGTAGTTTGGGTATGTTTTCTAAAAGCCCCCCCCCATGAAAACGAGGTGGTGCTTCTCAAGAGCTTGGATCCTGTCAATAAACTTTAATAATAGTTGGATGTAAAAGCATAAGAGTTCTGATAACTGATCTCATAAATCACCCGGTACATCTACTATTTAAAGCTGTAAAACAGCAGTGAAAAGCCAGATTTTCAGGAGAAAAATACTCCTTTCTTACATGTCCACATGAGGTCAGGATAAACCTGACTTGCTCAGTAGAGGAGGGTGTTGGGGAGCCTGTCAACTCCAGTGAGCTCCAAGTGAAAGATGAAGCATCATGAGCATGTCGTGTAATAACCCAGACTACCCAACAGAGTACATCTCAGGGGGGAAGAAGAATGATTTATGGATTTGGGTAGAGTAAGTTTGTATATGGAAGTCAGGAGGTCTTACCCTCTGGTCCCGAGAAGCCCCAGTCCAACATGTTTTCAGCATGTTTCAAAGGTAACCCTCAATTACCACCTTCCAAAAGCCTGGGACAATTTAACTGATCACATATTTATATATATGTATATATGTTTAGTTAAATCAGGTACTTTAGAGACGATCGGGAACAAATCCAAATATTAATTCTTGAGGACTCAAGGATGTCTCTTTGCTGTGCTGATCAACTGCTTAAAGAAGTGTTCCTCATCTGTAAGGAACTGCCGCTTTTAAAGGTGACTTACAAGAGCAACAGGTCTGGGGCTGGAGACCCCTGCACCCAGTGTGTAGATCCACACCAATTTGTCAAGAAAGATACTGTCACTGTATTGGGGCTGCAGTATGTCTAGAGCAGATGGTGCCACTCATTTGTTGAACATGACCTCTTACAGCTGTAAACATCACTGTCTTTCCCCTGTGCTCCCTTCTGCAGGAGTCAGGAATGTCAGTGCTGAGATGAGCAAGGAAAGGAAGAGGCAGACTGTGTGCCTGCTCCCGGAGAAGAGGAGCAGACTCTGGCTGGACAGGGAGGGAGGTAAGAGCGCCTGTGTCTGGGAGCTCAGGGTGACAGCAGTGCAGGAGGGAAGGTGAACATCCTGACAGGAGGACAGGAGCTGACAGAGAGGGGCAAGAGGGGCTGAGAGCCGGAGAAGATCACATTCAGAGAGAACAACTGTTTATTAAAAGTTAAAACAATTCACAGTAATTATGAAAAGACACGTTTCTCAGGCATTTGTGTTTCTATATTTATACATTACAGTATCAAGCAGTCAATAGTTACCTAATATTGAATGGAAATTCTAGCTAAATCTGAATTAAAAACTACCAACATAGATGCTACACTGCAAGAGATACTGAAATGTGTTAAATACAAACAAAAGTTACAGAGAGGATAGAAGCTGTGTAAAACCGATAGCAGTACTGTGATAATAAAAAAGTCTATTTTTTAAGTTAGGAAATTGTTAAAGGGAATTCAATGCATTTAGTTACGGTCTGATGTTATTGAATAACCTCAATTAATGATCACATTTATACAGCATTTCACACGTAGAAACCTAGGCAATTATAGGAGCATTTACTTTATTAGTACATGAAAGCATTAAATTGTTGAAAAATGAAGATTGTTTGGAGGTACAAATCATCTTATTGTTTAAACAGCTGATTGTCTTGAATCTTATGATACTGTATTGATTTTTGACTGAGATGTTTTGTATCATAGTGTTGTACTGTTGCTATATTTTATTATTGTCATATGGTATGAGCTCTTGAGGTGCAAGACAAATTCCTTCAGGGGCAATAAAGGTTAATTCAGTTCAACAGAACAGTAATAGTTTCCAATAAAAAAATCACGCCTGTAGCAATAAACAGTTTAAAACTTCAAAACAAAATCATGAGAAATGAAAATTCAATTTACAATTACAGTTAACTTCCTTAAACATAAGATTCAGATGTCTTTACAGAATGAAGTAAAAAAAAAAAATTAGAAAGATGACCTCTAATAAATTTTATCAGACCTGGTGTTATTGTTGTTGGTCAGTTCATGAATTGTTTTGGGTTCTAACGATGGTGGAGGGGTAATGGAAATTAACTGTGAGTGAAACAGAAAATAGAACTATAACATCATGTGTGAACTGACAGATGGGGATCCAGGCAGTATGTCTTCAGCCAGATTGAAACAAAGCCACTTGATCCAGGTGGAGGTTGGATATTGAGGAGGTTGGAAACACAAGGAGTTGAATATTTGGGGAGAACAGGGACTTGCCTGGAGTCCGGGGAAATGAGACCCAGGCTGAGGCTGGATCATCTCAATCGACAGTCTCGTCAAACCAGGAGGAGGTGATGCCACTGATGTTTCATCGCAGACTAACAGGAACAGACCCCAGGCCACAGGCAGGGCGGTGAGGTGACCAGTCTGGACAGTCAGAGAGACGCACAGGGTGAGTCAGACTGAGGAAGGGAGTAGGATTGGTGGTAGGAAGGTGAGGAAGCTTCCTGGATGGACAGGAAAGATGACTTATTAGATTTCCAGGTCATCACCACCAGTGAGTTCAGCGCTGCAGCCACAGTGAAGGAGGGTTAGTCTGATGTCAGGGCGTGTAGATCTAGATCTACTTACCCCATAAACCTCAGAGTCAGATTCTCTTTCCACTGGGAATCATCACGGTTCTCACAGAGTGTGGGGAACAGCAGGAGGCAGCGAGGAAGGAGGTGGATGTGGAAACAGGCTGAGGGTAAAATCATTATCTACCACTTACCCTTATCCATCCAATCAACATCCAAACTCGGAGGACATTCGTAAGAAATGCAGGATTTCTGCAATGGTCACAGTTGACTGGGTCACCTGGAAAATGAATGACATTGAGAGGAAGAGGGGAAGGAAAGCATAGAGTTTGAGACCAAGTAGATCATTTCAGGTGAAGAGTCATACAGATTGAAATATGCAGTCAGTGTCACTGGGAGGCTGTGCTGGACTGATTCATTGATGGACAGATATCGTCCTCACTAAAGAAGAGACACTGCAGAATATTGTCCTGCTCTCTGCCTGTCCAGACCCCTTCAGCACAATCTCCCACTGACACTCATTCACACTGTGGAAGTGTTTCAGCCTGTGTGACTCTGCACCTGGAACTGCTGTCTATAGTGTCTTAATCTAGTTCTCTTTATGATCATTCACAGTGATCTGTTCATAACAGGAATACCGAGTCCCACACTCTTCCTCTGAGCTGGGATGTTTATCACAAGTATCAGAATAAGGAGTGGGGTTAGAGAGTAGACTGCAATCAGCATCTGAACTCCAAGGTAATGCTTAAGACTCAGTATTCCTTTGATGAATAGAGATCACTGTGAATTATCAGCCTTTATTTGAAATGATCAGGAACATTAGTGACAGGAAGAAGTAAAGGAAAGTGTGAAGAGATCTAGACTGTGACACTACAGAGAACAGCTCTAGGTGCAGAGTCACACAGGCTGAAACACTTCCACAGTGTGAACGAGTGTCAGTGGGAGGCTGTGCTGAAGGGGTCTGGACAGGCAGAGAGCAGGACACACTTCTCTAGTGTCTCATCTACAGTGGAAATGACACCTATCCATTACTGAATCAGAGCTCTAGCTGCTGCAAAATAGTACATTAGCATAGTGATTCAGCACCCTGAGTGACAGAAAAAGTTGAAATTGAATTACACACAAGTAAGATGTGGGGTTGCAGAGGTTTCATGGCAAAAGGCTGCTATAGGAAATAGGAGAAACTGTGCTGAGCTCACCTGGAGATCTGGGGTGCTAGTAACACACTTCACACACAGAGCAGCAGGTAGAGAAGGAGAGAGGCAGGACAGTGCAGAGAGAGGGCAGGGGGAGATACTGTCAGTTCTGAAGAGACACAGCAGAGCACAAGTCAGCACATCCAGGCAGAGCTCTAGATCAACACCAACAGGAAGGACAGATACAGGAGAGAGGAGCAGACACTCACTGGTGGACATGAAGACTAGACAGAGAGAGATGAGGACAGGCAGAGAGTCACTGTCCAATCCTGAAGCAGAGTGCAGACTGCTCTGCAGTGGGAGAGACAGACTATTGTAGCAACAGGAGACTAGTAGTGACAGAGATACAGGTAAAGCAGCGACAGAAGATGGAGCTCTAGACAGTTACAGACTGGGAGAGAGGAGCTGTACATGTGAGATTTCCAGGAGATCAACACCAGGGACTTCAGTGCTGCAGCTGTAATGAAGGAGACTCAGTGTGATGTCAGGGTACAGAGATCTAAACCAACTCACCCTGTCAATCCCAGAGCCAGATTCTGACTCTTCACAGTCTCATTCCTCACTGAGAGAGAGGAGCAGCAGGAGGCAGCAGGGAGGGAGCTGAAGGTGTTTATTCATCACATGTTGACAGACTGGAACCAGGCTGGACTGAATTCAGTGACTTTGTTGAAAGCTGGAAAGAGGATGTAAACTCATTAAAATAGGTCAGGCTGTGCCAGAATACTTCCTCACACTTTAGATCTCTGTACCCTGACATCACACTGACACTCCTTCACTACAGCTGCAGCAGTGTCACAGTCTAGATCTCTTCATACTTTCCTTTACTTCTTCCTCTGTCACTAATGTTCCTGATCTTTTCAAATAGAGGCTGATAATTCACAGTGATCTCTGACCATCACAGGAATCCTGAGTGTCTTCAGCTCCTCCTCTGAGCTGGGATGTTGATCACATGTAGAAGAGTGAGGAGTGGGGTTAGTGAGTGGACATGCCATCAGCATCTGAACTCAGAGGAGGAGCTGAAGACACTCAGGATTCCTGTGATGGTCAGAGATCACTGTGAATTATCAGCCTCTATTTGAAAAGATCAGGAACATTATTGACAGAGGAAGAAGTAAAGGAAAGTATGAAGAGATCTAGACTGTGACACTGCTGCAGCTGTAGTGAAGGAGTGTCAGTGTGATGTCAGGG